AGAGAGAGAGAGAGAGAGAGAGAGAGAGAGAGAGAGAGATTCACGACAGGGCGCTTCACAACCGGGCGCACGGCGCGCTTCACGACAACAGCAGAAGCGCGACAACACCGAATACAACGGACCGAGGGCTCTGCACGACAACGGCCAGTCCAACGGAGAGTTGGGTTGGCCCAACTTCGTGAACTCCGGTAGCACCCAACGGCACTCGGCGCGTTTATCTGAGCCGTCGGTCCGGACCGACGGCCTGGATCTCGGCGCAGTCCTAAGATCTTAAGACCGCATCTATCCAAGCCGTCGGTCTGGTAGGACCCGACGCCCCAGATGGCAGATTTGTTACATGGTTCGGTCGATCTGGGCTGTGGGCTGGTAGGACCGACAACGACCCGGATTTCAGATTTGTCACGTTAGCGATTTTAATAGTGTAGGGATTCAGAGTAGATCCTTGAGGAGGGTTAGTGAGTGTGTGCGCATGTAGGGAGAGAGGTCACAGCGAGGACATAGCTAGGGAGAAGACCAGCGAGGAGAAGAGATTCCTCAGAGAGAAGAGCAGTGGGAAAGAGATACTTACCTGAGGGCTTATGCTGGTTACTGGTTACCTTTCGTATGCGCTGATGAGTGCTGGTGACTTGAACTCTTATTGCTCTTGTAAATACTTGTCGGAATTCTGAGCTGCGCTACATGGTCTTCGTCTCTCTGGTCTCCAGTGTGAATCTCGTGTGATCTCATACATGCATGTGGCGTGATTGTGTTCGCTCAATGATGTTGAACTAAGAGGCTCATTGCATTCTGCTATATCACTCTTGCTACATGGTCAGCAAGCCCTGATGAATGTCTCGGATGCGCTGCCTTCCATTTCACAGCACGAGTTTGGGTACCATTTTACCACCCAACAAATGCCTCTTACCCCAAATGGTCCAACCTTACCGCATACCTCTGCTACGGAGGGAGGAAAGACTAAAGATTTGGTCAAACATTTGCTCAATGCAACCGATTGTTTCTATTCGAAAATAGATAACATGTGATGTAGGAGCAGCCATATATCCAAGGTTCCACATGAAATATGTAAGAGGTAACATATACCTGCTATGCCCAGTCCATGTAGCCGAATGGTACACATGTAAGTGTTGACAAACAGATCACGAGTTCAAGTCCCGACAAAATCTGATCATTGATGCGTAATGTCAGCGGCTTCCCGCTTTCATAAAGCGAGTACAATCCTACTACGAACTAGTACGAAGTGCAAAAAGTTGCTGAAATTCATCTCACATTCAGAAGACAGCTGCAGCTCTTCCTGACGGAAGGAAACAACAACCATTTGGCACTCAAAAGAAACGAGCACCTCGGCATAAACCTGACTCTGAGAGAGAGAAAGAGTGTGTGTGTGTGTGGGGGGGGTGGGGGGTGGGGGTTGGGAGAGAGAGAGAGAGGGAGATGAAGATGGAGGGGGGGACATAGAGAGAGAGAAGTGGAGAGAGAGGGAAAGGGAGAGGGAGAGGAGAGGAGACAACATACCCACTGAGATCAAGCAGCTCCAAGTTCTCGCACTTTGTTGAAATCACTGCTGCCGATTCGTCTGTAATGCCCTCCCCATGGATCAGTGACAGTGCTCTCAGATCCCTGCTCGCGGGCAGACGCAAGTGAGCAAAACGCAGGGGCAACCTCATGAGTGATCCTTCCTTCCTTCGCATTGATTGCCACTCACACTCCACTACGGGAGCCACAGATTAACATCAAGCAAAATGGCTTCCCGCTGTGATTAGCGTTAAGGAATAATAAACTGAGCAACAGATCACTTTCGAATTCAAAGGCCCTTCCATGATTGCACACATTTAGCACATGAACCTGCGTCACTCCAAGAGCAGTTTCAAATTCAAACTTCCAAAGGCCACTCTGTGATTACATACGCTTAGAACATGAACCTGCATCACTCCACAGCATCCTCTTGTTCTTTTCATGAGTTACCGTAGCACAGAAGCGAGCATGCCTGGCCCGTTACTTCACTGCAAGTCGATCTGCTGATTATGACACTTCTACTCGGCCGTTTGTTTCACAAGAAGGCAGTCCATCAACAGGCAATTAATCCAGCCAATGGCCAATCCTCACATTCTCTGCCTCTTCACACCAACATTCGACAACCTTCGTCTCATTTCTTTTGTAGGAGTTTCTGTCGGGATTCCAACTGCCTGCTCCTAAATGTTAATTGATTGATGCCTCCCTCCGCTCATGGGGTTTAAATTCCATCAAAACTGCAAAAGCCAATCAATCCAATCAATGCTCTTCCCCATTCATCTGTCTATCCATTCACACCGACATGCAACATCTTTGTGTGAGCTGCTGTGGAGTTTCACCTCCTGAATGCACATCCGACAGAGATGAGTCTTAGCTGTGCTGCGACAGCATAACTTGCGAAGTAAATGAGAGCTGGGAATGGAGAAAACAGGCAGACCACCACAGTCGACAGCTCCATGCAGTTGCTTCAGTCAGTCATTTCCCGAGTTGGCAGCGTCTGGCGGACCTAATCCAGAATCCTAGAGACCTGGATGGCGAAACCAGGTCTGAAGATGACCGGCAAGACGAATCTTTGCAATCTGATCCGCCCTGTCGCAAAGCACATGCGTCAGCTCATGGATTAAGAGGATGCCAGGAAGACAGGAAAGAATGGTAGAGCCAACAAAGAGGGATGGGCTCACCTCACATCACCGCTGAGGAGGGCCAGCACAGCTGTATCCTGCAACAACGGAGACGCCACGTGGAGCTTGACAAGGCCAATACAGCACTTGGCAATGCAGCGCATCAATGTCGTCAGAGCCAGTGCTAGTGCTTCCTCCCTTGTTCTTGCAGGCGCCTCTGATGCAGAGTTTTGTGCAGACGTAGCCCTTTCCGCAGCTGAAGGGTGCAGCAAATCCAGCGCAAGCTCTGAGAGTGATGGGCAGTCGAGATTCTGCAGCACAAACGCAAATGATGGAAAGTTAAAGATCTAAACAGATAGGAAGAGCACAAAAATAACTGCGAGATGTTATTGGTGAACGGTTCACTTTCAAATTGATAGGATAACAGCGTTTCCCTTTTCAAAGAATCTCAAACGCCCAAAACGCAGGGGGGAAGGGAATAAAAAAGAAAACGCTCTGATATTCAGGCGAGAGCTCAAATTCAACCATTTGTTAGAAGGATAAAAATGCGCGTTTGCAACCCTGTCAATGAGTTACGGACAACTGTTTCATCCCTGCAGCTCAGTCACTTTTTCCACGGCGCTCCCGAGGAGTTGCCAAGACTTTCGACGTGAAACTCCTTTGACATGCCCCCCACCCTGATCATCCCGACTCCGGTCTGCTCTACCTTCCCATCCTCTCGCCTAAGAAGACTAGACACCCCCCCCTTCCGACCTCTCCTGTCACCGTGCGACGCCCCCCACCCTGATCATCTCGACTCCGGTCTGCTCTACCTCCCCATCCTCTCGCCTAGGAAGGCTAGACACACCCCCTTTCAAAGCTCTCCTGTCACCGTGTGACGCCTCCCACCCTGATCATCCTGACTCCGGTCTGCTCTACCTCCCCATCCTCTCGCCTAGGAAGACTAGACACACCCCCTTTCAAACCTCTCCGGTCACTGTGCGACGACAGACGCTCCTAAACTATCTTCTGTAACCCAACACATGGGGATGCAAACTCTCACAAACCGCTGCTGTGCAGCTGCCATTCAAATTGCAGCCCACACTGTCGTCACCATTCCACAGAGAAAAAGTGGTAAATACTAAATAAGGTAACTTTGGTTATAATAGGTCGTAAATGTAAAACCACGTAAGGTCAAATGCTTTTCATGGTTATCCAACAGGGGAAAAAAGATCAAGTGTAGTATCTGTTCTGACCAGTTTAATATCTGATCCGTGGTCCATTGGGCAAATAAAATAAAATAAAAAATAAAAAAATAAAAAAAATAAAAAACAGGGGAAAAAAGAGGAAAAATCATCACCTGAAGATACTCAGACAGCAAGGTTGCAGAACTGAATCAGATTGGGCGTAAAAGAACACAGCAGTCTTCATCTTACATGCAATGCCACCAAGCCCACCACAACCAACCAGAGGAAGTGGTTGACGGCCACAATGAAGAAGATTGAGGCGGAAGAGTCGTGAAGAGTCTGAAGACTATTAACAACGGGTTGTCTTCACCACGTGGGGGGTAAAGTAGTTATATGGCCGCTTTCACAGATGAAGAACATGCCTCCCACACGCTCATCAGCATCCGTTCATGAAACTCCCGTGGATCGATGAACACAAATAACTTGTCCAAAACCTCAGAGAATGCAGCATCCATCCAAGACCAACTTCTCAGACACCTCAGGAAATCGTTGCATCTATTCAGACAACAACAAACAACGACCTGCCTCGTCGCTTACAAGATGGTCAATGATTTCTGGGCAGGCACTAGCAAACTCTGCTCAGTGCTCATCCATCTTTTCAGACCCCTTTCCTAATCAACTCTACAACTTCTTAAAAAGCAGGGGTCAACCAGTGGTACATCCTCCCAATTGGGGTACTAATCAATGCAGCTGTCTCAGGCTCTCTCGACTATAACGGGGAGACACATTGAGTGAGTACATCCGATGTAAGGGATGCTGGACCCAAGTTCCAGCTTTTTTACACGAAGTTGTAAACTGATTGATTCCTTTTGTTCTTAAAAAAGGGGGAAACAAATTCCACAACAGTACCTGAGTGTACCTCTTTTAAGGATCAATATTCCCCCCCCCCCCCCCCCCCCCCAAAAAAAAAAAAACCACTGGGAAGTCCGCAAAAGCCCGAAAGGTTGTCCAGAATGATACAAACCGACAACCTTTCAAGCTTTTGCTAAGTTCCAGGGGTTGAGGGGGGGGGTATTGAATCTATTGATCCTTAAAAGCAGTACTGTTGCAGAGTTTTTGGGCAAGCTGGAAAGAAGGATGCTACATAACAACAGGATAAATAGAGGGTCAATCCGAACATAATATTGAATTACGGTGTTTACCTCACTACCTCAGATGGAAGGTCATCCCAGTAACAAGAGCCGGATCTGCAAGCAAAGCACGGTTTGCAGTAAAAGCCTGACTACCGGTAGGTCTGGTTGGGGAAGCAACGTTGGAATCAGCTTTTAGCCTTCAATACCACTAAGCCCTGAACGAATCCAGTCCTCTTCCTATACATCTGGCAGATCAGTGAAGCATGGGCTGAGAGAGATTCAAGAAAACCAAAATGATTCCCTTACAATTGATCCTCCTTGCAAAGGAGCAAAAAATCTTCCAGCCATAACAGAGGGAAGTGTCAGAGTATGTTGTTCATAGCATATGGGACGTGCCTATGGAACCGGACATGCACTCCCCACAACAGACCTGAGCCAGACTGAGCCAGGACCATTAGGACCTGCTTGCAAAAGGGAAAAATAAAAGAGCAACAAGAAGGAAGCTCAGTGGGCCACTGGATTACAGAAGTCAGGAATGTTCTCCCATGCCGTGCATTAGGACAGTTGGTACTTTCCCATCTCTGCTGCAGGGATTTTGAAAGTCAGGAATTTGCTCACATGCCCTCACTGTTCAGCCTACATCTGCAGGCATATCTGTGTCATCTTCTAGTTAAGATAGTTCACAGACAGCTCTCCACAGTTGCATCCTATTTCGCAAAGTTTTGACCCTCATGCGTAAAGACGCAGTATCAACGAGGCATTATCTAAGAAGCCAGGAGGACATGAAAAAGAAGAGGCAGAACAGTGATCGCTCACTGATGTTGCTGCTTAGCTGAATGCATACCAGTAACATCATTGCTTAGCAAATGCACGGCTCTCTGATCAGAGGAGAGCGCGTGCACCGGGTAAGGCACAGTTTTCCCACAGCATCTTCCGCACATGCTCTTCGTTACCATTGAACAATAGAAGGGGGATTGTTCTGTAGGCTGCTCCACTGAGCTTTCGACTGATCGATCAACAAATATAAACCTCGATGCAGCCACCCATACCCTGGCTGCAGGCAGGCAGCAACCTTCTGTGACAGCATTGCAGGTGACGACAAACCACTGGCACATAAGAGGTCGTCCGCAGTCAGTGCAAACCACTACACACGCTTTGGGACCTCGGCATGCCTCTTTCGATTACAGAGAAGACCAGTGTACCACCCCCTGTGTTCCCATACAGTATGGTCATACATCTATGAAGCCCAAGGAAAGCCAGAAGGGAGCTGGGAAGAGAGTGATGCAGCAATAACGACATGTCGGGTAGGGATTCCAAAAGAGGACATGCAGTTCACTTGCCTTGTAATACCAGGTGATGCTGGGGTAAGGGCATGGCGGTTGGGGGGTAGGAGAATTTGTGGTCACTTGCCATGTATGCAAGGCGATGACACCCTGAGAGCCAAAGAGCCGATAACCTTGAGCTGCTAAGGTCGACTGCCGTGACCGCACCACACCCCTCCAGCCTCAAGCTTTGCAAGAATGGACACTGTTCCACGAATTGCGAAATCCCTTCACTGCATGCAACAGAGGGAAACGCCACGGAAAGCAACTCAATATTCGTTCTTTTTCCTTTCAAAAAAAAACACAGACAGATAATTGGCAGGCCTGTCAAGCCTATTCAGAACGTACAGATCCAGTGAGGGGCAGCAAGGCAAGTACCGGGGTCAAATCCTACTAAACGTATCTCAATTCTCGCTGTGTAGCTTACTTGAATAGCATTGGTCTGTTGCAAAGAACGGATGATTGCACTGAAAGTGAGAACCTCGAATAACTTCGGAATAAGTGAATAACAATACATGCACATGCTAAGCCATGTGTAGTTGGCTTGCCAATTACAAGAAGAATTACGTTGGTTGATATCCTACGCCACCCAGTCCACTTCTCCGACTAGCACTCAAATCAGGTACGTATTGGAATGTGCGATTCCAACCATATTTCTTCCATATAGATGCCAAGAGCAACTGGTTCTACCGATCCATTCATTGTGAGAGAGGTAGTGCATTTCTCCAGCAGTTGGGCATTGGCACTATGATGTTATGACACTGTGTCAATTGCTCCAGTGTTAAGAATTAGCAGCAAACCTCCATGCTTGCTACGAAGAGGTGCCCAACATATGGTTTGGGGTAATCACAGGGTCTAGGGTTTAGGGTTTAGGGCTCAGGGGGTAAGATTTAAAATCTAGGGTTTAGGCTGAAAAATTTAGGGTTGAATGTTTAAGGCATTACTAAACATGCGCATAGGGGTCCCTACCACACACATCGTACGATTACTTTCTTACGCAAAATTGTGTGCACATACATCGAGAAAAGAAGAAATGAGGGTGATAGAGAAGACCATCACCGACTTCATTTCCCCTCCTCACATCATCTTCGTTCTTCTCCTCCTGTCTTCTCCTCCCTCATTCTCCTCTGCCTCCCACGCCACATCACCCCTCTCACACCATACTGTCCCCTCCATATCACATCACCCTCCTTGTGTTCATCCTCCGCCACATCACCCCTCTCACACCATATCGTCCCCTCTCATATCACATCAGCCTCCTTGTGCTCATCCTCCACCTTCTCCCCGTCCACCTCATCATCCTCCCCGTCCTCCTTCTGCATCTCCACATCCTCCTCCTGCACCTCCTCACTCTCCTCCTCCTTTCCCTGCACCTCCTCCATGTGATCCTCCACCTTCTCCTTCTCCTCCATGTGATCCAACACCTTCTCCTCCCGTTCATGTGATCCTCCACCTTCTCCTTCTCACGTTCCACCTCATCCTCCTCCTCGCCCTCCTCCTCCTCCCCCTGCACCTACCCATCCTTCTCCTCCTCCCCCCTTCTCCCAGTCCAACACCTCCTCCTCCTTGTCCTCCTCCTCCTCCCCTGCACCTCCTCATCTGATCGTGCACACAAAGGGATTGAACGCGCGCATGTGAACACAATCACTTTCAAACCAGAACACAGCAAATCGCAGCACAACTCCAGGTGTGGGGTTCAAAGTTCAAGGTTTATGAACTTTATGGTATAATGATATAATCCATCAAACAACTAGCCCTGATCTGTGAACCCCCTTTAAGAGTTTGAGAGTGTACATTGTGCACCTTCCGGTATCCTGACAAGAGAAAGAAAATCTGTCAACTTTTGTTACAGGTTCAGTGTCATGAGCTTTCAGGTCAACGGCTGGGGTTTGTGTATCTAAGATAAATCTGCCAACTTTTGTTACAGTTTCAAGTTGCAAGTTCAGTGCCAAAAACAGAAATCCCTAAACCAAAAATTCAAAACTGAGTTAAAAAGGAAAAAGGAAAACAGTTCAAAACATAGAAAAGAAAGGAAAGAAGTTCGACCCTTTCAACAACCGCTGTCTCCAAATGTATTCATTGAGCCTGCCTTCATACCAGCCTTGCAGTGACCGGACGGACATCAGGCCTCGACAGCAACAGCTCACGCGAAAGGAATAGCCATAGCCCTTTCAAAGACCTTGCTACCGAATCCAGATCACAACTGTTCAGGTCGGCCGCCATAGCTCCATGTTACCAACCCCGCTGTTTCTGGACATCAGGCCTGGATGGCAAGGCCTACGGCTCTCCCACCCTGAAAGGGAAGGGGAGAGGCGTGTGTGTATTTGGATTTATTCTTCGCTAGTGTGAGCCGTGGGCACTGGTCACCTTTCCTCGAGAAATAAGAACAAAAACGAAAAAGAAAAGATCTTGCTTGCGAGAGCTCGACCAGCAAGATCCAAAGCTTTTTGTGTGTTTGACAGGCTCACCACATTGGACCGCGATGAGAAATGTTCAAGCTCTGTGTTACGAACCGAGGGATCGCAATTAGAGGACTGTTCGAGCTCTGTGTGACCGGCCTTGCAGTTACTGGATAGCAGGACTCCAGAGCACGAGCCTGATAGCTAGAGCCCAATCTTTTGGTTTTTAGACCAATGTTCAGGTCAGTGACTGCAGGTTTGTGTTGCAGCAGGCTGCTGCCTGCTGTCACCTATTCAACATCCTCCCAGCACGTGCAAACAAGCACAGTCCGCAGTCAAGGTAAGAGGCAGTGGTGTTTTCGAACCACCATTACCAGGGAGAACATCCGCTCTATCAAAGTAGTGACTGCAACAGCAGGCCCGATATTCCTCTGCTAGACTGCCAGACACCGATGTGTATCTGGCCCCATTAGGCTCAGCCGGGCAGGCCCCTAGGGTAGTGCTGGTCTAACCCAACCCCACTCTTTTCCCCTTTAGCCCCCCATCCCTTCCCCTGCCCCTTCCTGTTGAATCAGTTGTGATGAGGATAAACGAGGGTAAACAATTTGGAATTGAAAGGTGTAGGGTTTAGGGTTTAGGGTTTTGAGATTGAGGTTTAATAGTTTGGGCTTACAGGGTTTAGTTTTGGGGTCCAAACCACTCCTCTACCTTTCACAGGCAAGCTTGAAAATGCAAACACACCATACACAGCATTCTTCGGAGGCCAGGTGCCACCAGACAAAAATGGCTGGTGGTGCCAGCTGCGAGGCTCAAACGCCTCGATACGCCCTACTGGGTTTTGAGATTGAGGTTTAATAGTTTGGGCTTAAATGGTTTAGCTTTGGGGTCCAGACCACTACCTTTCACAGACAAGCTTGAAAATGCAAACACACCATACACAGCATTCTTCGGAGGCCAGGTGCCACCAGACAAAAATGGCTGGTGGTGCCAGCTGCGAGGCTCAAACGCCTCGATACGCCCTACTGGGCCCTATTTTCAGTACGGTCGGCCGCCCTAAGTGAAGGCAGACTCGACCAAGGCCTACAGGCCCATTTTGGGGTCACCACGCAACTGGGGAAATTCAGGCAGTTGCGCAGCGCCAGTTGGTTGATAGCGCCCAGGCCCAGGCTGCCTTTTTCGCGTGTAACTGAGGCAGGCCCTGGGCCAGATGCGCAACATGGGCCGAACACAGGCCGCGGGCAGTTGGGCATGGGTAACCACCACAGGCCCTGGGCCTGATTCATTCCGACTGGGGCTCAGCCTCAAGGGGCCTACCGGAAGCTTCTGGATCAACGGCCAGTGGCAGGCAGCCCGCACGCGGCAGGCGGGTCACTTCCATTTAGGAAAGTGCCTGCCCCAGGACTCCTTATTCTGGCACTGGCTGCATGCTGTGCAAGAGCTGCTGTGCTACACGCTGGCCAGGCTCACGCGCTCACGGGCGAGCTGAGAGAGAAGCAGGCAGTCATAGCCGAGCTGCGCTGAACGGCGTTGGCCGAGATCTGCTCGTACTTCGGGGAGCTGTTGACGTCACCAGTGGCATTGGAGATAGGCTAGATAGGACCTGTCATTTGTAGTCTGGGCGCAGAGCGCCAGATAGGATATCGACATTGGTTCTTTGTTGATGATGATGAGCTTTTGCTGTGCTCTTATTTGGTGGGACTCGTGTTGCAATTCTGCTTTTGGTTCGCGGTCACGACTATCTGGTCTCACGTGTATGGGACTAATCAAGTAAAAATAGTTTTGTTTGTAGGAATCTGAACTAACCTGTTGGACCTGAATGTGTAGACTTTGAAATAGCCACCAGTTAATTAATCTATTTATTTTAAATCGGTTTGTGCATGATGCTGCGGTAGGCATAGAGTGAGTGACCTAGTGCAGTCAGTATGCAGTTCTGTAGATTATGAGCGACAGGGAGGAAACTAGAGAGGACGACAGGATCCCGCGATCAGCAAGGCGCCCCCCGACAGATTCCTGTTCCGCCAGCAGAGAGAAAGGCAGCAGCAGCAGCGAATAGCTAGGGCCACAGAGGCAAGCAGGGTACTCGCAAGCGAGGCCGCTACTTCAGCAGTTATGGCAACTGCTGCGCAGCAGAGCTCCCAGGCTAGTAGTTCAGGGACTGTAGGGTCAATGGTCGCACAGACCCTGAGTCAGTCTACTGGCGTCATGGCAAGCCAGCCGCTAGTTCTGACTCCCGAAGAGATCGCCATACGACAAGCAGATGCTCAGGAGGCACAGCTACAGAAGGCTTTAGGGGAGATAAAGGCAGAGAAAGAGAGAATGATTAGAAGAAGAGCGAGGATGCAACGAAGACAAGCGGACATTAGTGAGTTAGAGGAGATGGACGTGACAACCGCGGATGATGATGTGGGGACCCTGAGGATGATCTTGCTAGATGTAGTAGAAATGCAGGATCACCAAATGGCGCTCTCATAGGACATCCAACAGAGCCTGGTTGTGCTGGTTGGGCGGGCCTGGTGACTGGCCCGTGGTACAACCTCCTCCTGTTCCACCGGTGACTGGGGTATCCCCATACATAGCTCCAGCATCGGTCCAAGCCGTTTCCCTAGGTATGCCTTTGACAGGAGGGTTCTCAGCAGGTCCTAGTGTACAGATTCTTGTACAGACAATGTATTCCCAACCTCCGTCGCAGGTTGTCGTAACTAGGCAGCCTGCTGTCTCGCAGCCTGCACAGCCACTGGGCACACAGCCCCAACAGCAGCTAGTGCAGCAGCCTGCACCCCCTGGGTCCACAGCCCGGAGTGGGACAGGTATTGGGACAAGGCCAATGGGTTCCA